GCTGACGAGTATTCGACACACATAAAGAAGAAAATGGTCACGCAAGGCGTTTTCTTTCATGAGCTTTTCTGTGACTGAAAAGCCCGATACGTGATGTTATCTGCCTACCGCACTCCGGACATTCAAAAATCTCATTGCTTTGGTTGCCGCTGTAATTGAGTTTACAACCCTTCTCCATTGAGTTCTATTGTGAGCTGCTTTTTCCCACTCATTCTGTATGCTAATTCCCTTTAAATTTTCGTGGAAAATGTCCTTGTATCTTTTCAGTTGTCCACCCGGCCTCCTCTTACCGTCTAGAAGCTCACCGTAAAGCAGAGATTTTGGTATGCGGTTTTCTTGCATTCTGCATACGTGGCCAGCCCATCTTAAGCGGGATTTTATGACCATGACTTCAATACTCTCGCAGTTAGCTTTTTCAAGGACCAATACGTTTGAGACATGATGGAACCACCGGACTCTTAAAAGTTGCCTAAGGTGCCTCTGTTACAACTTATTTAATGCGTTCATGTGTCGGCGGTAAGGCACCCAGGTTTCGCACCCATATAACATGGTGGAGATTATAATTGCTCGGTATACTACAAGTTTTGTTTTTGTACTCAAGTCATAATTGTAGAAAACCCCGTCTTTTAATTTTCAGAATGAGGCGCTACTAATCCTGTGCTGAATTTCAGTCAGATTCAATATAGGCCTTTTCCGAAATCAAACTGCTAAGGTAATTGAATTCCGCCACATATTCCAATAATTCTTCTCCGATTTTTATAGCATTGTTGTGATCTTCCGGGAGAGTGCACATGATTTTAGTTTTGTCGATGTTTAGCTTAAGGTCGTATGCCCAGGTATATGTGTTCAAAATTTCTTGTAATTGTTGTACCGTGTTTGCAACTAGAGCGCAGTCGTCAGCGTATTGAAGTTCTGTGATAAATTTTGTACGTGTTGTATCTATATGCCCAATCCTCTCTCCTGCAGTTTGCTGTCCACTATAATGGAGAGCGCTGCCATGAATATGTTGAATAGGAGAGGCGCTAAGACCTGCCTAACTCCTGTATTTGTTAGGAATGGGTCGCTCAGTGATCTATGATGTGACACTCTTGACTTGTTGTTGTTATGGAGGCTTTTACACAGTGTAAGAAATTTGTTGGGTACTTCGAACTTTTTCATAATTGCCCAAAGCGCATCTCTGTTCACAGAGTCGAAGGCTTTTGTTAGATCGATGAATGCAACATAAAGTTTAGACTGCTGCTCTATTGCTTTTTCCTGTAGTTGACGGATGGAAAATATGGAATCGACGGTGCCGCGGTTGGTACGAAAACCCGTTTGCGATTCTGGAAGGATTTTTTCTATATATGGGTGCAGGCGGTTTGACATTATTTTTGCAAGAATTTTTCCGCCGATAGCCAATAGCGAAATTCCACGGTAATTTCCGCAATCTGATGCACTTCCTGTGTTCTTAAATTATTCAGTATATTCGCGTTGCGAAAGTCCTGAGGTACCTCTCCGCTTTCCCATACGACATCGAAGAGAGCCTTAAGATGACCAATAAGTTCTTTATTTGCACACTTATAGATTTCCGCCGGAATATCGTCACAGCCAGCTGATTTGTTGTTTTTAAGCTGTTTTATGGAGGTCTTTATTTCTTGTTCTGTTATTGGGATGTCTAATACATCGAGGCTGTTATACTGAGGTATTGTGTTTAATGCATTAAACAACTTGACATAATGTCATTTTAACAGAACATCCACGGTTTTTCTAGATGTATCTGTTTAAAAAAAACTAAAGTGTTCTCCAATAGTTGCATTTAAATATTTTAAATACACACACCGGAAAAGTCTAGGGATATTACAATTTTATCCAGCCATCGTCAGTAATTTTATTATTTGCATTTCTGATATAATAAAATTAAAATAAAGAAATAGTTTACAGGACGTATTGGAAATAAAAATGCGAAATTTACCGAATTTTTCAAATTTACCTTTATTTTTATTGAACTCAAAAAAATACACACATTTTTTTATATTCTAAACTGTGAATTAAAAAAAAAGATAAAACCATTTTTACTTAATAAAGGGTATGGCCTCCTCTACTGTTCATTACAGCCCTACATCGTCTATCCATGCTCCTGATCGGGTTGTCGATCTCTTCTTGAGGTACAGCCTGCCACGCTGCGTTCACGGCCCGAACCAGATCCCTACGAGTTTCACGAGGCATACCCATTCTCAAAATTCTTCTTTGGAGCGAGTCCCATACGTGCTCGATGGGGTTGAGGTCAGGAGATTGTGCCGGCCAGGGTAAGATGTTTAATTGATGAGCATTGATAAACTCACTTACCACTCTGGCTGTATGAGGCCGTGCATTGTGATGCATGAAAATAAAGTTTCTCCCAAAATCATTGGCATATGGTAACACGACAGGCTCAAGAATTAAATCACGATATTTGATTTCTGTTAGAAACCTTTCAAGAAAAACGAGATCGGTTTTTCGGCCTAACTGGACTCCTCCCCAGACCATAACTGTTCCACCTTGATAAGGGTGCATTTCCTGAACATGATCCAACCGAATAAGATTTCCCGGTTGTCTCCATACCCTAAGCCTTCTCGAATCCGGATGAATTCCAAAGCGTGACTCATCAGTGAAGAGAACATTGGCCCATTGTTCATTCGACCACTGAACATGATCTTGGGCCCACAAATATCGTACCTCTCGATTTCCTCTCGTTAAGGGTTGATCTCTCCAGGGGCGTCTGCTTCTTAAGTTGACCTGTCTTAATCTATTGCGAACAGTGTCAGACTAACGGTTACATTATGTGTTTCCTGGAGAATTAAACTAAGCTATGGTGCTGTAAGAGTCGGTCGGCGTCGAGCATTTAATTGTAAAAAATGATCTTGCTGAGGGGTAGTAATGCGATGTCGCCCTGTGTGCCTTTCAGCAACATCACCACTTTCACGGTACCGTGTACTTAATCGCGATATTACACTTTGCGTTGTATTTAATGCTCTAGCTAGTCGATTTGGCGACCCCAGCTTGGAGCACCCATGGCCCTTAGCATTTCGTCTCTGTTAAGATGTCTACGCTCCATAATGTCGTTTAATACTAAACAGAGTTATTTGAATGAATTCTGGCCAGTTATCATAAAAACATAGCCAGTATAGGTTAAATTCGAACAATTGATGCTAGGTGCTTTTTATACATTTGACAAAAAATGCACAAATTTAGAAATAACTAGTGTGACTACTTCGTTTCAATCGAAGTAGAAAGAATCGGGCTACAAATATGAGGTTGTTTTTTCATAACATCTATTTTTATCTTTAATAAAATGATATCCCTAGATTTTTCCGGTGTGTGTAGTTTTTTTTCTTTATTCTTTGTTTCATTCATTTCAAGTTCATTTTTTTTGCTTCCGACGACGGAAAGAGGTAAACTTTACGAAACGTTGATTTTTTTGTTCGTTAGGCAAATTTGTATATGTATACAGGGTGTCATTGAAATGGTGTAAAAAGAATCGGGGGGTGATAGTACTCCTAAAAATAGTAAAAAAAGTTCCTGTAAGTATAGGGTGAAAAATGCATATTAAGGGAGTTAGGGGCACTGAAAGGGTGAGTTTAAAAAACGCGTGTTTTAAAATTGTAGGCTTAAAAAACGAGATAAAATTTCGAAAAAAAATCCTCTTCCATAAATTTTGACCCTAAATCAAATGGTAATAGTGAAAAATTATTTGGAAAAGCGGAAAGGGTAGTTTTTGCAAGGGTAGGTTTTTTTTCGCGAATAACTTTTTTGAGGTTATTTTTTTTGCAACGTTGGTTCATTTTTTGAAAACTACATATTTTTTCCTACAAAAAAAGATACTCTTGTTGCACATCGCCCAGAGCGATGGTTTTCGAGAAAATTGAAGACAAAAAGTTTGCTCTGATGGGTTGCTAACTGGTTAATCAACATAAACTTATGAAAGTTATGGCGGTTCAAAAGTAACCAAGTAGTTATCAAATAATTAATTGGAAAATCAAAATTTCATGATTTTTAAAACGTCTTATTGCTTTGAAAAAAAACGAAATAATCCAATTACCAAAATTCCTTGTTAAAATAATGCATTCCTTAATTCATTCATAGTAAAGTTCAAAGTGACCACCATTCATTTCAATGTAGACATCTGATCTTCTTCTCCACGATCTGCGTAGATACCCTGTGGAATATCCTTGGTGTTGTCCGAATTTGATTGGAACAATCAATAATGCGTTGCCGTAGTTGCTTTTCAGTATTAATCGGCACTGAGCAAACCAAATTTTTTTAAACCAAAAAAGTTTATTTCGTTTTTAAAGCAATAAGATGTTTTAAAAATCATGAAATTTTGATTTTCCAATTAATTATTTAATAACTACTTGGTTACTTTTGAACCGCCATAACTTTCATAAGTTTAGGTTGATTAACTAGTTAGCAACCCATCAGAGCAATCTCTTTACTTTCAATTTTCTCGAAAACCATCGCTCTGGGCGATGTGCAACAAGAGTACCTTTTTGTAGGAAAAAGTATGTAGTTTTCAAAAAATGAACCCACGTTGCAAAAAAAACAACCTCAAAAAAGTTATGTACGAAATAACTCCCTACCCTTGCAAAAACTACCCTTTCCGCTTTTCCAAATAATTTTTCAGTATCACCATTTGATTTAGGGTCGAAATTTATGGCAGTGGATTTTTTTTCGAAGTCTTATCTCGTTTTTTAGGCCTACAATTTCAAAACAACCGTTTTTTAAATTCACCCTTTAATATGCATTTTCCGCCCGATACTTATAGGAACTTTTTTTACTACTTTACCTATCACCCCCCGATTTTTTTACCCCATTTCAATGACACCCTGTATAAGTGTTTACAAAAAATATCTATTTTATTTTGAAGATTTTCTTGCAGTGGTGAAATAACCCATAACATAGGTATAGACATTTTTTGCATTTTTTTTTTCGATTTAACAATATTATTACAATTTTTTCCTATTGTGGATTTCTATTGTTCTTACTTTTTCTTTATCTCACGTCCCATCCTTGGCCGGCTTGATGTCATCCTCGGTGCCTCGTTGACATTTCGGAGACTGATTCGGGACATATTTTCTGTTTTCCGTGTCAATTTTTTTCACCCTGGTCAACGTTTCGCTGTTGTAGTCCGTGCACGTGTGCATTAGGGTGAAGGGCAGCTTCAGACTGACGTCACCACCCATCACGCTGGCCAATAGTTTCACTGCAAAGGAAAATTGTTTTTATAAATTTGTCATACTAAACAATTATTGTAAGGTCTAAAACACAAATAGGTAGTAAATGGAAATTTTCAAAGTAAAATAACTCCCTTATTTTGGACTTATTTGAAAAACGATAAAGAGAAAATATGTTTCTTTTATCGAGATCTACCACCCCTTAAAATATTTGCACTTATTTCCGGGACACCCTGTATAGTGAAATGGACTCTTAATATTTTTATTCAAAAGGTTTAAGCAATATTTGTGTGTCTCTGTTATTAATTATTACTATATTTTTCTTTCCTTTATTATTATTTACTATAATCCCGCTTAAGCTAAAAATCGGAAATGGATTAAAGTATAAATTGAAGTTGCTCCTTTGATATTACGTTTCTCTCTGGCAAACATTAAGAAACAGACGAGAAAAGAAAGTTGAAATAGAAATATACGATTTTTCTTTGGCGCAATGAGAATTTGTAAGAATGACAGGAACAAGCTGGGTTTTAAATTAACTGTTTCGCTATTTAGTTTGCAGTTCAAAAAACCGCTGTTCGTTTTTCTTCTCTTTCCTGCTGCTTTTTGTGTATTTTCTTCTTAATTAATGTTTAGCCTGATATAGTTCCGAGAGAATCTGTTTTTTTCTCTCTTTTTTCACGTCAAATAAACCAAATCTCTGCATAATAATATTATACCCAACGAAAAAATTATTATTGAAGGATATTTATTTGTCTTACCTTTAACATAATAGGATACATAAATGGCAAAAACATTCCTATCTTCCGAATTGCCGGATGAAGAGCAGACTGTGCTTGCCAGATTCGAGCTGGACTTTGTGTAGGTGTCCTCCAAGGCGATCCAGTTTTTTGTACTAGTGTTTAGCGGAAGTAAGGTGTAGGTTTTGGTGACGGTTTCGCCAGTGTGAATGGGACAGCTCTCTTTGTCACTGTATATCGCTACAACGTTTTTAAACTTCCCGTTGCTGAACATACAGACGTCCACGTGTTGTACGATGAATACCTGCAACAAGTTTTTGAAATCAACACTTGAAAAAAGGTTCCGTATATAGAATATACAAGAAAACGGAAGGATGTATACTCTGTTTTTTTTCTCAGGTAAGATTTCGACAGACGATGACAGAAGAAAAGCAGATGACGTCCCATACCAATCTATTTATTTTACTAAAAAAAATTTCTAATAATTTTTAAGTTAACTATGGATGGGTTTAAATATAAATTCGTCATGCGTCGTCACTTGTTGTTTTTTACCAGTTTTATTGGTTTATTTCAAAAATGACAGATCGTATTTCAATTTTATTGGTTTGACGGAACGATGAACGACAAACGTACGCCGATGCGTATGAACTCGCCTTTAGATTTTTGACGTTTGTCAAAGTCTTGCCAAATTATAGGTTATAATTTTGTGACAACTTTTGTCAAATACCCTGCGTTTTGGAAGATGATGCATTTTGATTCGTGTTATTACGTGTGTTTTGTGTCTTTTGAAGTCAAGTGGAGGAAAAATCGAGTGAAAATTAACTGTAGAATCCAGAGCACAGTTTATGGTGAATACTCGCTGCCCAGGCAGAAAGTCTTATACAGATACACCAATAAAGTTACTATCAATAAAGTTCGTATACCATCTCGTCGTAGATAAGTGCATTACGAATATGGTAGAAGGACCATACTAAACCCATACTAAAAACTGGAGTAGCTGTATCGACATCACACGATAGGTAAAATAATGGATTTTAGTACTGCAGAAAAATAATGTCAAAAGGTACTGGTTTAAAAAAATTAAGATTAAAGTTAATTAATCAACCTGTGAGGTATAAAATTTGGTAATTGTTATTATTAATAAAATAGTTTATTTTATTTATGCTGTTTTATTTATTCCTGCGGAATATTACAAATTTGTATTTGTACATAGGTTATATTGATAAATATAATCATAAATGCGGGAAGTTTCATAAAGCTTGAAAATAAGAAATAGTTCTCTTTTATATTTTTTGGTATGTGGTGTCTTTTTTTTGTTTGTTTTGTGTTAACACATACCATTTTTTATTAAATAAAATAACTCGATTACATTTTTTCAGTTTTATACAGTTTTTTTCACAATATTTTGAAGTTACTTGTCAGACAAATTTTAAATACATATATTAATTTCCTGCTATGCGTTCCAGTTGTGCCAACTTATTTCTTTGTAAAATAAAATAAACTACTTTGAAATTAAAATGACAGACACATCTATCACTGTCAAGGATCTTCTCGTTGGACAGACTATAGAAACAATAGTATATTAAACAACGAGTTTCGAAAACGACGTTTTGCACACGAGTTCGACAGTTTGTTGGCTCGAGCCGCAGGCAAGAGCCACAAGTCGAACGAGTGTACAAAGGAGTTTTCGAACGAGTTTTTTACGCTATTTTTTCTACGACTACAAATAGGCAGCAGACTCACTCAGTTTTTGCCAGTTTTGTGAAATAATTTGCCATGTAATGATGACACTTTGCTGACGGCTGCGTTGCGTGCGTTTGGCGTTTCAGTTAAACATTGGAGGTTAAAAATGTTAAAATTGGCACATGCCGTGTACAAAATGACATATGTCGTGCGCTATATCCGTAGCACGCAACAGTTTGCAAAACCCCAATTTCAGATCGAGTTTTCCGTGTGTCAAACTGCATTTTCTAGGCTAGTCGTAGAAAAAATATTTTATGGGTACATGTGGGAAGGCAATGTGTATAATTCAAAATTATTTTCAAATGTACAGGGTGTGTCAGAACTAAGATCCATACCAAAGTTATATTTTTAGCCGACCATACCAATAGGTATGGTAGGCTATTAGGATCGGCAAAAAAATTTTTTTTTAATTTCACTCAAAATGAGTTACTTGGGTCATAAATGACCTAAATACAAAATATTTTCATGGTGTCTGTCTGTCTGTCTGTCTGTCCGTCTATCCGTATGTAACACGATAACTCAAAAAACGCTGAACCGATTTTAACCAAATTTGGCAGAAAAATACTGTGGCACCCTAGAATCTGGCCATTAGTTTTTGGTGGGGGTGGGGGGTTGGTAAGGGGGTATGGGAGGGGGTTAAAAATTTAGCGAAACGCGGTTTTCAATTTAAGATTAGGAATAATATTTGCAACAAAATTTGTAATAACATTTCTGTTAATTTTCAAGAGAAACAGCGGTTTTTTGAACTTGCCCCTTTTCCTACGGACCGGCAAATGGTTTTGAATACGGGATGGTGTACCCTTGTCATCTGTACATCGTTTCCAGGTGGTCTCGTTGCGGCACAACCCTTAATAAATGAGCTACAATTTTTTTTCTGTTAATTTTCAAGAGAAACAGCGGTTTATTGTATTTGGCCCTTTCCCTACGGACCGGCAAATGGTTTTGAATACGGGGTGGTATACCCTTGTCATCTGTACATCGTTTTCAGATGGTCTCGTTGCGGCACAACACTTAGTAAATGAGCTACAATTTATTTTCTGTTAATTTTTAGGAGAATCAGCGGTTTTTTGTACTTGGCCCTTTTCCTACGGACCGGCAAATGATTTTGAATACGGGGTGGTATACCCTTGTCATCTGTACATCGTTTCCAGGTGGTCTCGTTGCGGCACAACCCTCCATAAATGAGCTACAAATTTTTTTCTGTTAATTTTCAAGAGAAACAGCGGTTTATTGTATTTGGCCCTTTCCCTACGGACCGGCAAATGGTTTTGAATACGGGGTGGTATACCCTTGTCGTCTGTACATCGTTTTCAGATGGTCTCGTTGCGGCACAACACTTAGTAAATGAGCTACAATTTATTTTCTGTTAATTTTTAGGAGAATCAGCGGTTTTTTGTACTTGGCCCTTTTCCTACGGACCGGCAAATGATTTTGAATACGGGGTGGTATACCCTTGTCATCTGTACATCGTTTCCAGGTGGTCTCGTTGCAGCACAACCCTCCATAAATGAGCTACAAATTTTTTTCTGTTAATTTTCAAGAGAAACAGCGGTTTATTGTATTTGGCCCTTTCCCTACGGACCGGCAAATGGTTTTGAATACGGGGTGGTATACCCTTGTCATCTGTACATCGTTTTCAGATGGTCTCGTTGCGGCACAACACTTACGGGGTGGTATACCCTTGTCATCTGTACATCGTTTTCAGATGGTCTCGTTGCGGCACAACCCTTAGTAAATGAGCTACAATTTATTTTCTGTTAATTTTTAGGAGAATCAGCGGTTTTTTGTGCTTGGCCCTTTTCCTACGGACCGGCAAATGATTTTGAATACGGGGTGGTGTACCCTTGTCATCTGTACATCGTTTCAAGATGGTCTCGTTGCGGCACAACCCTTAATAAATGAGCTACAATTTTTTTTCTGTTAATTTTCAAGAGAAACAGCGGTATTTTAAACTTGGCCCCTTTCCTATGGACCGGCAAATGATTTTGAATACGGGGTGGTATACCCTTGTCATCTGTACATCGTTTCCAGGTGGTCTCGTTGCGGCACAACCCTCCATAAATGAGCTACAAGTTTTTTTCTGTTAATTTTCAAGAGAAACAGCGGTTTTTTGAAGTTGGCCCTTTTCCTACGGACCGGCAAATGATTTTGAATGCGGGGTGGTGTACCCTTGTCATCTGTACATCGTTTCCAGGTGGTCTCGTTGCGGCACAACCCTTAATAAATGAGCTACAATTTTTTTTCAAAATCAGTCAAAGTCGCAGTTTTTGAGATATTCCGTGTTTCCGTAGTCCGTTTTTGAGAAAATCCGTGTGGAGAACTCCCATCGGACGCGACCCCAGGTGGCGGATAGGGCAAATATCCGCGGACCAAAATTAGAAAAATTCACTTACTCTGAAACTAAAAGAACTCCCTACCAACTTTTTATTAACATATTTTAGTATGGGCGGTTATACGTGCCTCCCGGCGCTATTTTTTTTTCTTTCTAACGGAACCCTAAAAAATATTTTTTTTCTTTCTAGAACTTAATTGGCTTTAAGTTTATGAAAAACGATACCATATTACCCTCTACCATTTTCTTAAGGAAAAAAGGCCACAATCTTAGCTGAATGACAAATTATCTCGTCCCGACGAAACTGAACTTTGACAGTTAACTTTTTCCTCTTTTTTCCCCACTCTCTCGCGAAAAAGACTCTCGGCCGCAACAGGAAATTAGAAAATACAAGAGCCTGATACATTATTCATCTTAGCAGGGGTCGGAGAGCAAAATTAACGTTATTCTGTCCCGAAAGGCCAATTCCCTGTCAACAGAATAGAGGACTTATTAAATTTTATGAACCGAACTCGAAACAATTTGAGTAGGAAACCGTGTTATCGCGATTATTTGGGGAAACCGCAGAGAAAGACAAAAAACTAAAAGTAACAAAGTACCCTATGTTGTAAAACTACAAGGTTTTTCTGATAAAATGTTATTTATTAAATTTATGAGTTGATTAAACCTCAGTTAGACGTAGATATAGATTATAAAAAAGTTAAAAATTTATGACCTAAAATGCTCAGTTTCGGAGATACAGGGTGTAGAAGTTTCATTTTTATTTCGATTTTTTCCAAATAATTTATGAAGTAACATCAATATTTTATGAAAATTGGCGTCTGTGAGTTTTTTGACATGAGAGATTTGATTTTAATATCAATATGACTCCTACTTGTAGAGGGCGCCACCTACATATTTTTAACTGGTTTGAAGACTAGTAACTTTTCGTCCATACCTGTATAAAACTAACTGAGTAAAAAAATATACATTTACGACGTTTTTTACGCAAAAGAAGATCTCTTGGTAAAAATCGCTACTACTAATGGTTCTCGAGATATTTGAAATCGAAATTATCAATACCTGTCATCATTGACATAAGTTAAACATGTTGACTAAATAGTTATTAGACTAAAATCATAAATTTGAAATGTTTTTGTGCTAAAAGTTCAACAGAAACTGTTTTATCATCATTTGTTTGCAGTAGAATTTATGATTAATTTAAAAAAATAAAATTTTCCCAAATTTAT